TAAAAGAAGATTGGAAGGAAGGAAAGAAGGAAAAAGATAGAAAGAGAAGAAGGAAAGACATAAGAATGAAAAAAGTGATACAGGAATGGTTGAAAAAAGAAAAATAATTAAGAATAGAATAATAAAAGAGGAATGGAAGGAAGGAAGGAAGGAAGGAAGGAAGGAAGGAAGGAAAAGATAGACAGAAACAGGAAAAGGAAATACGTAAGAAAGAAAGGAAGTGATTTATAAAAGGAGGGAGAAAGAAAAAAAAATCAGCTATGGAATAAGAAAAAAAGCAGGGAAGGAAGAATGAAAGGAAGTGATACAGGAATGGAGGGAAAAAGAAAAAGAATCAGGAATGGAATATAAGAAAGAAAGAAAGAAAGAAAGAAAGAAAGAAAGAAAGAAAGAAAGAAAGAAAGGGAGGGAGGGAGGAAAGATATAGAAAGTAAAGATGGAAAGATGTATGAAAGGAAAGAAAGGAAGTGAGGAATAAAATTAGGGAGAAAGAAAAAGGATCAGGAATGGAATAAAAAACGTAGGGAAAGAAAGAAGGAAAAATAGATAGACAGAAAGAGAAGAAGGAGCGTCGTAAGAAAGAAAGGAAGTGATGATGGAATGGTAGGAGAGAGAAAAAGAATCAGCTATGGAATAAGAAAAACGAATGGAAGGAAAGAAGGGTAAAGATAGATAGAGAGAAAGAGAAGAATGAAAGAGGTAAGAAAGAAAGGAAGTCATGATGGAATGCTGGGAGAAAGAAAAGGGATAAGTAATAGATTAAGAAAAATAGAAGGAAATGAAGGGAGGAAAAAGATAGACAAATATAGAAGAAAGGAAGACGTAAGAAAGGAAGGAAGTAATGAAGGAATGGAGAGAGAGAGAGAGAGAGAGAGAGAGAGAACGAATCAGGAATGAAATAAGAAAAAAAGAAGGTAAGGAAAGAAGGAAGAACATAGAAATAGAAGAAGGAAAGACGTAAGAAAGAAAGGAAGTTATTTAGGAATGGAGGGAGGAAGTAAAAGAATCAGGAATCGAATAGGAAAAAAGAATGGAAGGAAAGACGGATAAAGACAGACAGAGAACAAGAGAAGAATAAAAAGCCGTAAGAAATAAAGTGTTGCAAGAATGAAGGGAGAAAGAAAAAGAATCAGAAATGGAATAAGAAAAGAATAAAGGAAAGAAAGAAGGAAGGGAGGGAAAAGGTGGACAGAATGAGAAAACAGAAAGAAAAGATTGAAAGATGTAAGAAAGAAAGAAAGTGGTCCAAGAATGGAGGGAGAAAAAGAATCAGGAATGGAATAAGAAAAGAAGGAAGGAAAAGAAGGAGAAATATAGACAGAAGGAGAAGAAGGAAAGAGATAAGAAAGAAAAGAAGTAATGCAGGAATGGATGAAAAGAGAAAAATAATTAAGAATAGAATAATAAAAGACGAATGGGAGGAAGAAATGAAGAAAAAAAAGGAAAAAGATAGATAGGCAGAAAGAGAAGAAGGAAAGATATAAGAATGAAAGGAAATGATGCAGGAATGGATGAAGAAAGAAAAATAATTAGGAATGTAATAAAAAAAGACGAATGGAAGGAAGGAAGGCAAGAAGGAAAAGATAGACAGAAACAGGAAAAGGAAATACGTAAGAAAGAAAGGAAGTGATTTATAAAAGGAGGGAGAAAGAAAAAAGCAGGAATGGAATAAGAAAGAAAGAAAGAAAGAAAGAAAGAAAGAAAGAAAGAAAGAAAGGAAGTAAGGAAGGGAGGGAGGAAAGATATAGAAAGAAAAGATGGAAAGATGTAAGAAAGGAATCAAGGAAGTGAGGAATAAAATTAGGGAGAAAGAAAAAGGATCAGGAATGGAATAAAAAAACGTAGGGAAAGAAAGAAGGAAAAATAGATAGACAGAAAGAGAAGAAGGAGCGTCGTAAGAAAGAAAGAAAGGAAGTGATGATGGAATGGTAGGAGAGAGAAAAAGAATCAGCTATGGAAAAGAAAAAAAAAAGGAGGGAAGCAAGATTGAAAGAAAGTGATGCTGGTATGGAGGGAGAAAGAAAAAGACTCAGGAAGAAAAAAGATAGAAAAACAGAAATGCCGGAGCAAATAGAGAAAGAAACAAATAAAAGAAGTTAGGAATAAAAAGGTGAAACGAAGAAAGAATGGAAAAAAAAGCGAAGATAAGGAAAGTAAAAAGGAAGGAGAAATGTAGAAAAGAGGGAAGTAAACGATAGAGAGAAGTGAATGAAAAATATAAATGAGATAAATAAGGAGGAAATGGCATAAGAAAGAATGAACAAATTATCAATGAAAAAGTTTGATTATTCTGTTTTTACATTTTATCAACCTCTTACATGTTATTTAAAGCCAGAAATTATTTTTAGACTGTTTTTTAGACACGAATGATATATTGATACAAGTCCTACGAATTAACTCCTATCTTGTGAGAAAGAGGTGGAGTCTTACCCTTTTAAGGTTATTTAGAAATAAATGAATATAAAGAACCTGATTGGATATTGAACTCCTTTTCCGATTTCGTATTCCGAGCAACTGTATATATATATATATATATATATATATATATATATATATATATATATATATATATATATATATATATATATATATATATATATATATCAGATAAGTGAACATTGAAGTCAACACTCAGAGGCGACTGTTTCATGCTAGACGCAATCGTCTAGCATGAAACAGCCTGTTGTTGACTTCAATGTTGACCACTTTATCCCATAAGTGTAGCACACTTTAAAACTATATTTCTGCTTATATATATATATATTTATACATATATATGCATACATATATACATATATATATATATATATATATATATTACAAAGGGAATTAAGATAACATATTGGTTATGATCTTTATCACCTTATAAAATTAGGGTAATTTATAAGGATTTTCAAACCGATCAGAATAAAAAAATAGAAAATTCAATCTGCTCTGCTTAATTAAAACATTGTGTTCTGCATGTGAATCACTTTTAATGTTCAATATTTAATATTTTGAATTATATTAATAGGATTCACTTGAATTATATACCAACGGATTTTTACACACACACACACACACACATACCGACACACACACACACACACACACATACCGACACACACACACACATACACACAAATATATATATTTCGTGTATTTGGGGCCTAAATGTTCTTTAAGGCAAACATTATTAAAAACGACAGCTATTTTGTGTCGATTAATTTTAATAATCGACTTTTTACAAGTTACGAATAATTCGTCTTAGACAAGAGAAAAATTTCGTCTGATATTATCCAAAGTTCATTTCAGGGAGTAAAGTACCACCATTTATATATATATATATATATATATATATATATATATATATATATATATATATATATATAAACTTATCAGACGTTATGAAAAGAATTTACATAAAATAGACAACACTTGTCTATATTATTTAATGAAACGTATATGAATATATATATATATATATATATATATATATGTGTGTGTGTGTGTGTGTGTGTGTGTGTGTGTGTGTGTATTAGAGCTCAATGAAGCCTATTAATATTAGTAAAATGACTATAATTTAACGTATTAGATTCTTACATGAATTCATTCGTGTTTTATATTATTTTAATACTTATATTTATTTTTTCATTAATACTACTGATGAGTCATTTCACGACGTCTTCTTCTTCATTGTTTACGACCTCCTGTCAACGATCCTCTAAGTGTTCAATGCCCCGACAATAGAAATCATAAGATTTTGACTCGAAAAATTCATTAAGCCACTTTTTAAGCTACGCGTCTTTGTTGAACGAAACACTCGACGAATTGTTAGAAAGCAAACTGAAATGTACAACTTATGGGGCTAAATCAGGAGAATATTTTTTTTTGTGGTAGAACTTGCAAACCGAGCTCTTTAATTGCATCTTTGGTTATATTAATGACTAGCAGCATGGCCCGGCGTTGCTCGTGCTTGATTCAAAAATCGTACGAATCGCTATCACTTGACTTAAAATATTTTTGCCCTTCCTTGCCTTTAAAGGAGTTCCCTTTGCCGTACTGATGTTGCTACATGCCTTACTTCTTGCCTATCTCACACTGCGAATTTTTTCTAAGCTCTATACTAAACATTAAATCTATTACAAAAAAAGAACTAAACAAAATGAACACAAAACGATCAGCTTTAAAAAAAGGACTCGTAACTGGAAAAACGAATGAAAAAAGAATGTTAACAACAAATACTTTTTCACACCCAACCCAGTTCTGCGGAATCAGAATCAACGTTGAGTTTAAGCAAGCGAATGAGCCAATTGGAGTAAAGTGCCATGCAGATTTAAATTTTTTCCACTTGTGACGAATGCAGCTATCGATTTGTTTTTGCATGCTTGCATACTAGTTAACATTCGTGTCAGTCAGCTGTTGGCTCTCACGCTGGCCAATAGAATCTTCCTACCTATTCGTGGTAGCCAGCTATAGGCTCTCACTCTTGCCAGTAGAAAACTCTGGCCGCAATCTACATGAAAACTGCCGTAGAAGCATGAAAAAATCGATTATCTCCACTATCGATGGGGGTTGAAAAATGCAAAGTCGGTCTTGGCCTTCCCGCGAACTTGGAGCATTGGTGCAAATCCGTCGAAAATTGCGGTCGTGCATTCACCACACACACACACACACACACACACATATCCTGCTTTTTATAGATAGAGATGTAGTGGCGAGAATTGTCATGTTGAATAATCACAGTGTTTCGGCGGTCAGATCTTTTTCAGTAGAATGTGCCTGTTTCAGCTCCATTTTATTTGTTCAACACAGTTCCACATGGATCGTTTGTTGTTTTGAAGCATTTCATTGTAAATTAGTCTTTGCCAGTCTCACTGAACGATTATCATTCACTTATGTAGACGCAGCGTGTTTCGGTTTGTTGCCTGCTTATCATGAATCAGCCATTCTTCTCTCTACCTTTTATTCACGTAAAGACACCTTTTTTCGTCACTGGTGATAATATGGTAATGGAATATTTTTTTTATTGTATCCCCGAGTAGACTGGTCTCGAGGGAGCAAACTGACGGCAATGACGCGTACTGGAGTTTGTTTCTCTCGGTCAATGCGTGTGGCACCCATGAGCCATGTTTCTGAACCATACCTACTGAGTGAATAAGACAAGCGAGAGTAACATGAAAGCTTGTCCTCTTCTGAGCTAATTCCCTAGGGGGTCTGGTACGGTTCATCTTTAATCAGCACGCGCAGTTGGTTCTCATCAAGCTGAACAGGTCGGCCAGAACGAGGAGAGTCTGCGTGTTCGAAGTTCCCCACCTTGGTAAGGAAAAACCATTTCTGTGCCATTCTGTCGGCAATGAACTCATCTTCATACGCTGCACAAATATCTCAAGCAGCTTTGGCACCGTGTTTAAAAGCAAAGAGAAGAAGAATTCAAATATGTTCATTCTTGTCTAATTGGGAGTTCCATCTAAAAAAAGTGCTGTAGAATCTGACTTAAAATGCCAATAACGTTAGAAAACAGTTTCACAGGATGACAAGACTTACTAAAAAGAAAAAAATGCTGCGAAATATTCTCCTTGGGATCACACGCAGAACATCAGAAAAAAAGAAAAAAAGAATAAAAAACGCAGGAATATATATATATATATATATATATATATATATATAGATATATATATATAGATAGATAGATAGATAGATAGATAGATAGATAATATTAGTGGGAAATATACATATATATGCAAAATATATAAATACCCATACATGTATATTTTCAGAAAAAAATTCCAAGAGGAAGAATCCAGGTAGAACTCAATGTCTAGGACAGAGTAAGAATATAATAAAAAGGCTTAAACACTAATATTCCATGGTTATGACCATGGAATATTAGTGTTTAAATCTTTTATTATATATATATATATATATATATATATATATTTTAGTTGGATAGATGTGAGTTTGTGACCTTGGGTTTCACGCTTTAGCGATCGTCAGACAAACTCTGACGATCGCTAAAGCGTGAAACCCAGGGTCTAAACTCACATCTATCCAATCAAATATGTTAGCTCTATCTCTGATATTGAGCGCTTTCTAATAAGTACCGCGTAACAATATATAAATAATTATACATATATATATATTATTTCTCATGCGATCTAATATTTTTTTTCTTTTCGGATGATAAATTATATAAAATCAAAATTCGTAAATAATTATATAGGCCACACTACAACATGTTAGACACGCAGACTCGCTCTACACCTTTCTGATAATAGCCCAATTAGATCTCATTTAAATATTCATGGAGACCTACAGGACACTATTCGTAACATACTTGTTGACAACACTAATATAATAGTATCATCTACATTCAAAAAAAATAATGGAAGCCTTATTAATAAAAACAAAAAAAACAACACTTAATAAATTAACTTTGAACATGGACATAATATCTTGACCGTGTTTTGAAAAATGAAAACATTTTATAAAACTTATATACAAGAAACTATTTCTTATTTAAAAAAATATTTAATCCTTCAAAATGGATAAATGTATAGCCGAAAGCACTCGGATAAAAAGAATAATCAGGCAGTTTTTATATAATTTATCATCCGAAAAGAAAAAAATTATGACATCGCATGAGAAATTGTATAAAAAAACTAAATAAAAACACCTTGTCTGTCGTATTCAATGAAATGTGCATGAAAGAAGGATTGCTAAAACACCCCCCCACACACACACATAAAACAATAATACAAATATATATATATATATATATATATATATATATATATATATATAAAACAATAGTATTAATATGTTTCTACTGGATGTAAAGTCGGGGACTGATTTTCTGTTATTTTAAGCAATAAATCGATCCTCCAGAAATATTACATATTGATAAAATAATTGGAAAAATATATTTAAAGACTCACGTAAATTCTGCATGTAACATTCTTGTCTATTTGGGAATTCATTCTCGAAGAATTGTCTAATAAGAAATAAAATGCCAATAACATAAGGCAACAGTTTCACAAGATGACCAGAGTTATTCGGAAGCAAATAATTCCAAGAAATATTCTTTGAGATCATTCGCAGAACATTAAAATAAGCGAACGAATATATGTAATTTTATGGTCGGCAGAATTTCGTCAAAAACATACTCAGTTGATAACTAGAGCGACACTGCTATAAATTAACAATTGCATAAGAAAACCAATTATTGGTATATTCTCTAAGGATCGAACCCACGAAGTCATCCCTGAATTGAACAGGTGACGATAGCCTTAGGTTAGATGGTCTATGCTGATTTTACGAGCTTAGATAATTTGACAGAAGGTTATATATGTGATGGAATGAGTGGCGATCTTTGTCAATATAAGTGTGAATCCAATTTTGGTCAACCATTATTCTTGGATGGGTGCCATTCTTTAAGATTGAATACACCGAATCTGAAAAAGAAAAAAAGACATCAGTGTCTTTGAAAGGAAAAAAATGCAGAGAGAAAAGCGTCGTCATTATCAGGAGGAAAAACGAAAAAGCAAATGGCCGATTGGTTCTTAATAGACAAATCCCAAAGCAACATGAAAAAATAAACTACCGTATATTTCCGCGTAGGAGGAGACCTTTAGATAGAACGAGGTAAAAATATAGCAAATTTTCATGAATTTATTCGATACCTGTACTTATTGATTATATGAAGACGATGTTACTGGAAATTCAAAATAACAAAACCGATTCTATATCATGTTTTTACTACACACTCCCTCTAAAAGGGAAAGTATGGTTTTGCTTACATTTCATCACGCGATCTCTTGCGAATACTGAATCTTCTTCCTTTTCTTTTCCTATATATAAAAAGTTACAAACAGCCTGGTGTACTAATGACCATATACTTATACTTCTTTGAAAATCACAAAATGCTGCTAATAACAGTACGATAATAGTACATTTCATTCGTGTGAATGCAGCCATAATCCAATGTTTATATTTTCTCAGCTAAGCTTGCAAGGATACAAGTTGATTTCATTGATATGGAATTATTGTTCTAATAGGCAATTTATTATGAAGTTATGCCAGTAATATATATATATATCATTTTTTTTTTATTTTTATTATCAGTTTATTTGATAATGTGAATTTTTTTTAGGTAAGTTATTGGTTATCGCTCGGAAGCCGAGCTTAGCCTATCGACAAACATCAGTCATAATTTAAGGGTTCTTTTTTAGAATTGTAGTTTAACCCCCCCCCCCCAATTGTTAAGGGTGATTTTGGGGAATTTGAAGATAGTCTTATGAGCGGAAATATACAGCGTATATATACAGTATATATATATATATATATATATATATATATATATATATATATATAAAGAAATATAGTTTTAAAAGTGTGCTATATTTATGGGATAAAGTGCTCAATATCAGAGATAGAACGTATTTAAATATTTAAATATAAAAGTGAACATTGAAGTCAACACTCAATTTTATATATATATATATATATATATATATATATATATATATATATATATATATATATAAAAAAAAAGGAATGTATTTTTTTTATTTATTAATCCGATATATATATATATATATATATATATATATATATATATATATATATATATATATATTAAGAAATGGACAAAGTCCGACAATCTATTTATTAAAGACATTTTATGTTTAACGTTCTTTTATAGAAAATTTCTCGGACATTCAGGCCGGTAAATGTTATTTAATACTGTTTATTATAAACAGAGCATTTACTTAAATACTTGTATCTATAAAAAAACGTTAAACATAAAATGTCTTTAATATATATAAATATATATATATATATATATATATATATATATATATATATATATATATATATATAAGGACAACTTTCTTTTTCTTGTTATAAATCACACTGTGATTTTGGAACGATTCCGTTAGACATAAGATCCGTGGAGCAAATCAAATGAAAGAGCCTGACGAACGTTGATCACGTGAGATGATTACAAACAAGGCGCATGCGCAAGAGGAGATGGATATTCGGTTTATTTAGCAATCAGTCCGACAACGACATGACGTTCTCTACCAATCTGCATCGCTAACTGATTTAATATTTTTCGTTGAACTTGCGACATTTACCCTCTCTACCAGTCTGTCTGCGCTATACACCTGTATGTCTCTTGAAATCTGTTCATTATTAGTTATTTCGTTTGACATCTGTCTTATATATCGGTCTATGAGCTTGTAATTGAGATTTTGGTACAGGATTTAGGCGCAATCTAAGCAAGCTACAATATCTTCTTTTATATATGTTGTGTAGGAACCTACCACCCCTCTTAAAGATGAACTCGTCTACAAACAAGGACGTTAAATAGTGGCATGTCAAAAGACAGAGTGTCGGAGAAGTTCTGGGCTGAGTTAGTTATAGACTACTCAGGCGATAATCTGTACCAACTTACCAACCGAATAAACCCCTTTTTATTGTTACATGTTATTTGGCGTTTGTCTTTATTAACCCCAAATTAACATCATAACAATATACTACGTCCCTTCAAGGCGTCGGCGATCATGGCTCTTCACAATATCCTGTCCTTTTATAGCGTTTACAAAAATGTTTTTTTTTCCGATATCTCCTAAACCCTGTTCTGCCATATATTTACACACGGTCCTCCGGCTCTTTCCCGTTGTCTCTTTTTCCTTCAAATTTTTCTGTAAGTGTTAAATTTTCCAAGCCCTCTTTTCTTATTATGTGCTCTAGAAATGTCAACTATCTTTCTGTTGTTACGTATAAGTTTCCTTTTTGTTTCGATTTGCTGTAAAACTTCATCGTTGCTCATAGTTTTGGTCCATGGTATCCTCAGCATCCTCTTCTAGAACTGCATTTCTATCGCTTTAAGTTTCTTCTTCATCTGCGCTGAAAGAATCAGGGATTCACTACCTGATAGGTGGACTGAGCTACAAATTAAGTACCCCAAATATAAAGGGGTCTTAAAAAAATTTAGAATTTGGGTTGGGGAATCTTTTTTAATTAACTTGGCGTATTTTTTCATAACTAGGGTCCTCCAAGTTTGAAAAAAAGCTTAAAGCCGACCCCAACTTGCGGCCCGTCTTAATAGTAAATCTGAACGGCTGGTAGCTTATCTAAAAAATAATCTACATTCTGGTGTTAACTGGGGCAAGAAATGACTTGTCAATTTTAATACCTCCAAGACGAATCTACACTATTTTAATCGTCTGAGAGAACCCTTTTTAAATTGGCTGATGTGAACCTCCTGGTCAGTGACCAATTGCGCCTTCTCGGACTAAGGTTTTTCGGTGACATGAAGGGGAACGATTATATTGAATTAATTATTTGGTCAGCTGCCTGGAAAATTGGTGAACTGTATCGTGCTAGATAATTGTTCTCGGCAGAATCTTTGCCTGTTTCTGTCCAGCATTCGTCCTTGCTTTGAATACTGCTGCCACATCGGGTCTGGGTCTCCTGCTATTTATTTAGAGATTCTTGATAAAATTCAGAGAAGAATCTGTAATATTATTGATTCTGACCTGGCAACTCTGGCTTCAGTCTCTTTCCCACCAATGTAACTTGCTTTTGCCTTTCATGGTAATTGTTCTGTTGAACTGTCCTCTATGATATGCACACATGGAAAATAGGATTACATAGAGACACTGAGGTATTATGGTGGCTGTAGTAAGAATGGTATATAAGAATCTGTTGTTTTGGTGTAAGGAATACTGTGCTTTGTTTGGGTCAGTAATAAGACAGACTGAAGACCGGCCTTCCCTTGTCTCCCCACTCTTTTGGCCCTGTGTTACATTTTTGTATTTTCAATATAAATATTACTTTTCTCTATGCTACTTAGACTTTATGAATTTAAGTGTGGTACTAGATTGGCAGTTCTTTTAAGTTCTATACCAACAGTTTCTTATCTCTCTGTATTTCTGAGATGAGGTATTATGTACACTATTTACATTATTCGGACTATTGTCCTCATCTTTGTCACCATATTTATTACAACGTTTCGGCCGCTGTACGCTCCGGCCTTCTTCAGGCCGTGCACCTGCGGAAAGAAATATAAAGGGGACACAGACCGCCCCCCTTAAGCTAAGGCTTCAAGAAAACCAGAAAGCTGTAACACCATGGGAAGTAGAAAAATCAGGCGTGGCTGACCACATATGGAGAGAAAAGTGAGATCCCCTCCCACTGTGGGAGCAGTGTGAGATCATAGACAAAAGACACCATTGGAAAATTCGTAAACTTAAGGATATGCTAGGCCACAAAAATATCCTGAGCTGACCAAGCATAAAAATAAATACAATATGGGAACCAGTAATAAGGAGTGCCAGAGAAAAGCGATAATAACAACAAAAAATTGCAGTATGAGCTCTGGTAAAAACATGAAATGATAACAGCCAAACTTGCAATATGAGCGCTCGAAAAAAATGATAACTGAGACATTAGGTTTATAATACCCAGAAATGCATACACATGGCACAGTGGATAAAGGCGTTGGTTAAATTAGTCCGAGAAGACGCAATTGATCACTCACTGTGAGTTCAATACTCGTTTAAGGCAGTGGAGAACTTGGAGAGGGGAATTAACTGATAACTGACATCCATTAAACATGGCACGTGGAACTAGAACAGTCTACCCCAGTGAGCGAAATAAAGGGTTCAGTTCGACATTCCAAAGAGGGCTGAAACGTTGTGATAAATATGGCGACAAAGATGAGGACAATAGTCCGAATAATGTAAATAGTCAACAGTTTCTTCTCTCACTGTTCTTTCTTGCGGCTTCTTGCTTACTAGTCAAATTTCAAAAATTTAAATGCGATGTCAATCGTCATCTTCTGTCTTCTTAATTCCTGTTCTTTTATTGTACCCTCCTTAATGTTTTCCATTTTATCTGCTTCATATACTTTAACCATCAGTAAATATTTTCCTTTCCTATAAATATTTTCATGGTAATTTTTATATTGAACTTTTCTCTATGGTACTTTATGAATTTAAGCGCAAGACTAGATTGGCGACAAGGTCTCATTATCTTAAGTTTGAACCGTGAGTTCTATGTTAAGAGTTTCTTCTATAGCACTTCTAGATTGTGGCACTCTCTTCCGGTCTCTGGCTTTCCAGTTAATTTTGATCTTCAGAAATGTAATGTCAATCGTTATCTTCTTTATCTAAACTTTCTCTCCCTCCCCACTCTCTCTCTTTCTTTCTTTCTCTCCCTCTCCTCTCCTCTCTCTCTCTCTCTCTCTCTATATATATATATATATATATATATATATATATATATATATATCACCCTGTGATTCTTTTGAATAAGAGTAGAATTTTATCCTTTGTTTCTTCGTTAGGATTGGGTTTTTAAAGTTTTTACATTCTTTTCCGCTAGCAGTCCCACCTTGCGTTTTAGTGTCATTATCACGTTGTTTGGGGGTGAATTTGTCATATATATATATATATATATATATATATATATATATATATATATTACACATTGGGTGTTGGTTCCAGTAA